GGGTGGTGATGGGGGGTTATGCATAAAGATAAGTATAACGAAACGATTGAAACTGTTGATTTCCTAAAACATGATATTTTACGTAAATGTCGCTTGAAGCAAATAAAATGCAAATATTTATGTGTTTACATTGATATTGTAATGTTCAAGGTTTCTAAATTGACATTGTGCTTTTCAAAGTGTTTTGATTGAGATTGTGTTATTCAAAGTGTCTAAATCGATATTGGGCTTTTTGAATTGTCTTAATTGACTTGTCCTGTTCACAATGTCTTAGCTATTTTACACTCCTTTGTTTTAAACTGTTTCGTCTCATGATAATTACTTAACTATCAACAGGGAAGCCATTGCCAATAAATCAATACGAGGAGTTACTTGACAATGTGAAAATTGAAGATAAAAACACGGAGATACTAGCCCCTGTGATACCGTACCTTGGCGAACTTGCTGGCCTGTTTCTGATGATTTGCTGCTGCTGCTGGCAGGAACGGGAAGTAGGAACCGTACTCATTGTCGTTGGTGTGCTCAACATTGTAGCAGGAGTACTGGGCTGTATCGCTCCGTCACTCGAGACATTCGCACTGGTAGCAGCATTCGGAGCATTGTTTGGTTTCAGCAAAGGTTGTTGAATTGTTTTAATTTCCATTAAAAACAAATACTGCAAACTGTCGTAAATATATGCAAAAAGGTTTAACGCCGATAAAAATCATACATTGCAATACTTCTTCACAAAATAATGTTCATTTGAAATAGTTGTAGCCTGATGTGTCAAGTCATGCGTGGTTCTATTGACGACACATTAACCGAGGACAAAGATGATAAAGCCACATATTGACCTCAACAAAGGTTTATAATGCAACAATAATTATTTATAATTGATGCGTCAGTTACACGAGTGAAGTCAGAACTGTTAACGATTAACAAATTGAAGTAGCTCAAAAAGTTTCAAGACTTGCTGTTAAAATCTTTAGACTTCGGTATGACGTCGTACCTATGAGCAGTATATTGTACATATTTTGAATGATTTATTTCTTTTTCAGGAGTATTCAACTCGCTGCTAGACAACACAATACCGGATGCGTTTGGTAAAGGTCACGTCCGTATCGTGGAGGGATTATTCGGATTGTTTGCTGGGTTCGCTGAATTAGTTATAGACCCTGCAGAAGGTAACAAAATACTTATCAAACTTGCAAAATATAAACAAATATTGATAAAGCACGCAGAAAGTAACAAAATAGGTATGGTTTTGTTCTCACTACACGTGCTCTCGATGCGAGGACGTGGCATTTCTTGGATTCGACTTAAATTTACATTGCGGATGTCATAGATGTAGCATAAGACGTGTGCCCTTCTGGAACACTTGGTATTATTTTCCTTGTATTTTGTTAAGGGTTTCCAATATAAATAATGTTTTGTTCATATTTGCCAAACTTTTATCGATTTGATTTCAAACTGTGGTTTTGTTAGTATCTCAGTATTGTTGTTCTAATCATGCAGAATGTAAATCCTTTTTTATAAAATACTTCGAAGGTTACAGATAGAGATAGAATCTGCAGAAGGAATGATTTAAGATACGAAAGGTAACAGATGTTAGTATCACATACAGAAGTGAATCAATACTGATTAAGACCGTGGAAAATTATTTTTTTTTACTCAAAACGTGTTTAAATTAGCTAAAGGTACAACATGAATAGTTATAAATCCTCCAGATATATAGAGATAAAACCGCCGAAGTTAACAAATAGTGAAAATTCTGGCAGGAAGTAAGTAAATAGTTAAAAAGCATGTACAAAATACCTCATATATATAACACGTACAGAAAGTGATAAAGAAGGCAGAAGATAAGGAACGTAGAAACAGAAAGGGACGAATGATAATTCTCGCCGATTTAATATAAAGTTAATATTTCCATGTTGTTATGTATTGAGATGACCCAGTAAATTATAGTACAATGCACTTGGTGTGTTTATATATATAAAAGGGCCATGGTTTTTCCTATTTAACCTAAGTAAGATAACAATTAATTGCTCGTGTATAATGTGACCAGACTGAAAAACTGTTGTTTGGGCGTGCTTTAGGCGACAGAAGGCATGCTTTTGTTATATCATTGTTATTAATTGCTTTACGAAAAATCTGGACTATTTCAATGTAGCTGGTCCATAAAGGGGAGGTAAGCTGGATATTAGTATGAGGGAATCAGACGTTGCAGGAACATGTTATATGTATAAAAGTGGTCACATTTCATTACAGAGGATATCTTGGATATAGATAAGAAGGATCCATGGAAGTTCTCCTTCTACATTGGGGGAGGACTGGTCATCGCCTCGGGTATAGGAGCCTTCTTGACACGATTTAAAAAGCCGAAGGACTATAGATAGATTGTGTGTCATGTCTGACAAAATAAATGATCGGAAGTGTTAGATGCCTGTTTAAAGAATATTATGAACATGGAGAAGATGACATGATAAAATCTAGATTACTGATTGGATAGCCACATGACTATACCAGGTATGAAATATATTCTGCCTGTCAATAGAGTTTTCCGTGGTACGTTGTATAATATACTAAGCACATAATTACCTTCTGTCGAGGGCTACTTAGACTCCTTTCGTTACCATGTTTTTTTTCACTTTAGTGACTTAAGTTACATACTCATTTTGAAAATATACAGTATATATACCAATATTATATTTAGGATGTAGCTGATGTATTAACATTTATTCTTATCGGAATAGGTTTTTTGTGTGTTTTTTTATACATATTTGATGAACTTTCTGATTTGCTTATAGTTCAGGAGAGTTCACGTAGACTGTAGAATTACCTCATAGTAGAAGAACAGTATATCTTCATTAAATCCGATGGTTGACGCATTATACGAATAATTATACGAGAAGCATGACTAAGCAACTACAATTTAGAAACCTGTTATATGTCCAGTGTTTTTTTATATTAACATATAGTATATTTTGTATTCAATATATGTACGCTAATGACTACTGCCTATGCTGACTATGATCAATAAAAGTTATGTGTATTTTTATGATGATGGACTTCCGTTATTAAGAAAGAAATTTTATCGGAGTAATTTGACACTTAATCTTAAGGAACCCCGCTCCACAGCAGGTAAGACACAATAGAACCCCATTGTTGGTTTTGTTTCCCTACAGTAAACTCTCCTTCATTTTGAATTAACCAAATGAGCTGCCTAGTCGACGAAGTAGCTTAGCCCTGTCACACTACCGATATAAGATGAGAAGTTTGAGGTTTTAATCCTGGTCTCACCCCTATGCATTTTTACACTTTGAACAGTGTTTCTGCATGCTAGTTCATACAGTAGTTACAGTTTTTGCCAGTGGTACGGGCATCCTTACTACTTAATACTTACGCTCTCCTTTTTTTTAAGTATGTACACTATTTGATACCCAAGTACAATTTTTGATCCTATTAGATCAGATACATATCTAATAACTATAATTATCAAAATCATATAAGCAGGTGGACTCATATCTTGGTTTCAAAACCTCAAAACCTTAACGATCAATCAATGACAAGTTTTGTGATTCTTTCACAATTAGAATGTTCTAAATTCCTAAACTGTATGAAATTGTATGAAAAATTATCACCTTGTCAAAAAGACACTCTGGCGGTAGTTATTTGATTCAATAGAGCATCAAAAATACGAAAACATGTTTAAAGGCGGTAAGGGATCGTATAAGGTGGGTCCGGATATCAAAGTCCAGATAGTACGCTTGGCATACTTTTTAATTGACAAACGCATTCTTACAATTGATAATTATTGACTGGAGCAGTTTTATTGGCCAGGGAATCGTCAATGTTCATAAAATATTTACATTTTCTTTGTAAGGTGCTTAGATAAACCTACCAGCCGACATTGTTGTTATGTTCTATATACAGCAACAACTATTAGCATTAATCTTTGCCAAACGGAAACTGTTCGGGTCTTTCCGTCAAACAACTTGAGCAGTTGGGGACCAATCATAACAATCCCAAATAGTTTTCGACCAGCGGAACTAAGACTACAAAGAAAGATATAATGATATTATCTTTGCTTGCTGTTCTGAAAGTAAATATAAGAGCTAAAATGCACCGTTCAACCTTTATGATGGTATGAAACACAGTTCCGTTTAAACAGATTACATGATGCACGGTCACTTCCGTTCAAACATATTCTCAAAGTTGCGCTACCGTGCATCATGTAAAACGTTTTAAAAGAACTGTGTTTCATACCATCATAAATGCTAGAAAGAGTCCATATGTTCTAGATACTAGAAAGATGCTACGATACCAGAATGAACACTAATGATTATTTACATCATGTATATCACACAAGATATTGTATCAAACATCAATTTGAGTGAGGATGCACACAGTTCGGCAGTAATACAGCTTTGGGTATCCTCGTGAGTCACTCAGTCCTTTGATATCTGCGATTGCATTTACTAACAATCTCCATACATTTTAACTTTTAACTGAGTAGAGAGTTTCCATTTTGC